CCTGCTATATTTAGAGTGTTGTCCTGAGATTTCCCCCCACCCGCCACTGGCTCGCCGCCACCAACATTGTTATTTACATTAATATCCTCATGATTCTTGTCGAGTACGTTTTCGCTGTTCTTACAATCTGCTGGTTGTTGCACCGTTGAGCTGCCGTTGTCCACGTTTTCGAGGACGGTTTCGATGTCTTTGCTCTTCTTGGAAGAGCCTCCAACATTGGATTTCTTGCGGCGAAGGATGGTGTTGCTGGTGGCAACCGCCAGTTTTGATTCCCCACAACCCATTTTTCAATCGTGTGTTTGTGTTGTGAGGTCTCAGAGAAGAGAGAGAGAGAGAGAGAGGAGACAGAGGCTGAGAGATTAATGTGTTTAGCTCCCTTTAATATGTAAGAGAGAGATTAGAGATGGATAGGCAATGAAAGCTGTTGTGTTTTGATTTGGTTATTTGTTTGTGTTGGAGCTGTGGTTTGCATGGGTGTAACTTGGTTGTCATGCACATATAGCTTATATATAGAACCGTTTTCTTCGTTGTGTTTTCAAGGTGGAGATGGGTTTATGGGCAGCTCATTATCAACATCAATGTGCCTTGCCTTGGTGTATTTTTAGATAGGTAAAAGGCCTTAGTAATTAGGAAACATTTTTGCTGCCGATGTTCATTCATTCATTCATTCAATTCTTCGATTGTTCACGTTTTGAAAAACTATACACTCATGAATTAAATCTTAAATTACTTTTTAGGGAAATATTTAGAACACAACTTTTGCAAAAGGCAATACCAAATCAATACTCAATAAGACAAAGTTTAGAAATCTATTTTTGGAAGAAAAAATTGGATTCTACAATATCTTTGCGGGGAATGAATTTGTATGCCATCGGAAAGGACTTTTGCAACCTTAAACTAAGAAAAGAGAGATGATTGTAAGTCCTTGAACACATCAGTGTAGTGTGAGCCAAAGAGCTTCCGATACCTAAGTTAATTCAACTATATAAAGAGAAAAATAAGGTTTCTTAATTTAAGGAACAATTACCTTCTACAAGAGGCGGATATTAATTTATATTTAGCTCTTTGAAGGCTGATTTATTGTCGTAGGAGGCTACGTATTTGACATAAATTAGGGGTATGAAATACTCATTGATGTGCACATAAAGTCAATTAAATGTTTGACTTGGAACGTGTGAGATATTTTACCCAAAGCGGGTGAACATGAGGGAAATCTCCAACATTTGGGCTAATCTTTTACAGGCGTGCAATATGACGACAAGTCATGTTGGGCTTATGCTTTTAGGCCATATCTGTCCTAACCCAAGGCTAGATAGGCGTTTGGGCCCAGGCCGAGCTAGCTCAATCATGGGCATTTGTCTAGCGCAAGGCCTTGTAGGGCTTTCTTTGCCGTGTGGGCTCCTCATTACTCTGGCAGAGGAAGCGACCTCTGCGAGCTCTTTGGCAATAATTCCAATTGCGTGAGACTTCTCTTGCCCCTTACAAGGACAATTTGGTCCATGTGGTTGCTCTTTAATACACGTGGTGCCTTATCATTGCCGTGCGATTATTTGCACCCACAAGCTATCCCACATATTTTGACCATATAATAAATATGAATATATTTGAAGGTGAGACCTGAGGCCATCACCCCCCTCCCCCTCTCTTCTCTCCTCTCCCACGTAGTTGAGAGAGAGAGAGAGAGAGAGAGAGAGAGAGATGAAATCTCTGAAATGGCAGATGTGAATGAAGAAGACCAATAAAATTCACAAGTGCCCAACCGTTTGAAGGTTGTATATCTCAGATTCTGAGGGTCCAATAACATCCATTTGCACAGACCCCTAGAATATGAATAAAGAAAATTAAATATAGCTGCAATACTGTACAAAAAAGAAACAGTTCCAACTTCCCATAAACCTCAAGATGCATGTGATGTGAAGTCATGTCAACTCCACCTCAGTTCTTCCCAAGAACAGTGCAAATCGCAATTGATGCAGATGTAATAAATTCATGACAATGGCTTAATGTTTATTCTAGTCTTTTTTTATTATTGAAATATATAATAATGAATTAAAGCATTTCACAACTTAGGTTATTAAGTTGTGTTATTAACAATCGCACGTAAGTAACTGTTATTCGTTGATATAATATGAAATTTACTTGTATTAAAAGGCGATGTATTTGAATTATTTTTCTTATAATGCAGTAGACGTAAGGTGCTAGAGTCATAGTT